GTCCGATAAACTTTTCAGCTGATCTTTAGAATATGGTAACGGGTAGTTTGGCGACATTTTGGAGGCGATAAAGGTTACTACCTGGGACTTTGGTAATAATGTGAGCAGTACTCAGTTCCGATTACGCATTATTTTGTGTGAGGGAAATGAGAGATCATGGGATATGTCATGTGATATTAATGGACGAATTACGGTTCTTTAATCGGAAAAGGGGGGAAATTGGGAAAAAATCTGGAAATTTTGTGTTTGGCTTTATTCTGTGTTGTGTGAAACAGTGTACGTTAATTTTTGGATCCCATGGCCCTAACTAAAGTGAATTCGAAATGGGTATTTAGTGGGATTGAAAGGGGTAGTAATATGTGTTTTTTTAAGGTTGTGCGAGATAGAAGTAAAGATGTTTTATTAAGTTATTTATTTAACCTGGTACCTTGCTGTGAACTATAAGTATGATTTTAAAGATCCTGAAACAGAAATAAGAAAAGTTTATCGGACACGTAATCAAGATTCTGAAGAAGAATAGATAAGTTAGTATTTTTAATTATTTGAGGATATTATTTTTATGCATTGTTCTAAATGTAAGGTGGAAGTAAAGTAATTTGCGTAAACGTGCATGGAAGTAATTTATATATTTGACACTAAGTATTTGTAACCATTTGTAATGTTTGCGTTATGAATTCGTTGGTGACATTTATAATATAATAGATAATTTAGAGGTAAAAGTTTTTGGATATTTTATTTATTTTATACGTGGAAATGTTCATATTTGGAAAGGGTATATACTTTTTCGCGATATAGGTAATTTCATATATGTTCTTTTTAACGTGTTTAAAGATTAAAAAATTGTCATGCATTTTCGTGAAATTTTTCTAATTTATGAGAAAAAGCAGTGTACATGGATATGGTGAAGAGTGTGCGCAATGCCATTTTTGTGCAATTCTGGGATTTTTTTTAAAGTAAAAATAAGTCGACGTGTACATGGTTTAGTGATATTTTAATTAAATGATAGTTATTTTGTGAATTTTATGTTTGTAGGAATTTGGTATACGTTTAAGTTGAAGTAAACGTGCATGGAAATAATTTAAATATTTGACACTAAGTATTTGTAATGCTTGCGGTATGAATTCGTTGGTGACGTTATAATATAATAGATGATTTAGAGGTAAAAGTTTTTGGATATTTTATTTATTTTATATGTGGAAATGTTTATATTTGGAAAGGGTATATACTTTTTCGCGATCAGGTAATTTCATATATGTTCTTTTTACCGGGTTTAAAGATTAAGAAAATTGTCATGTATTTTCGTGAAATTTTTCTAATTTATGAGAAAAAAAGCAGTGTACATGGATATAGTGAAGAGTGTGCGCAATGCCATTTTGTGTAATTCTGGGATGTTTTTTTAAGTAAAAATAAGTCGGCGTGTACATGGTTATGGTTATGTGTATGTGTTATTTTGAAAAAACGCGTAAGGAGTATGGTATTGTGCACTTTTTCCCAATTTTGCAGTGAATATTTGTCATGATTAAGCAGTTTTGTTAGATAAAATTTCTAGCATAAGTGTAATTCGGGTAGTAGATTGTTGGAAGAAGTGTTCAGTAGATAAAAAGAAAAGAAACATGTCTTTACTTCGTGAAGACAAAATGGCGGCAGAAAAAAAAAAAATAGAGGGTTGCTGTAGGAGTGTTGGTCGCCAAATTTTCGTCAAAAAAACGCCAAGTTACCATAATGTAAAGATCAACCAACTTTTCTTATTTCATCCGCTAAATAAAAAGCAAGCGTATGTGCGCCTGTTTCAGGATCTTTAAAATCATACTTATAGTTCACAGCAAGGTATCAGGTAAAATAAATAGCTTAATAAAACATCTTTACTTCTATCTCGCACAACCTTAAAGAAACACTTATTACTACCCCTTTCAATCCCACTAAATACCCATTTCGAATTCACTTTAGTTATGGCCATGGGATCCCAAAATTAACGAACACTGTTTCACACAACACAGAATAAAGCCAAATACAAAATTTCCAGATTATTTCCCGATTTCCCCCCTTTTTCGATTAAAGAACCATAATTCGTCCATTAATATCACGACATATCCCATGATCTCTCACACAAAATAATGCGTAATCGGAACTGAGTACTTACTGCTCACATTATTACCAAAGTCCCAGGTAGTAACCTTTTTTCGCCTCCAAAATGTCGCCAAACTACCAGTTACCATATTCTAAAGATCAGCCAGATGAACATTTCCACGTATAAAATAAATAAAATATCCAAAAGCTTTTACCTCTAAATTATCTATTATATTATAAACGTCACCAACGAATTTATACCGCAAACATTAAAAATAGTTACAAATACTTAGTGTCAAATATTTAAATTATTTCCATACACGTTTACTTCAACTGAAACGTATACCAAATTCCTACAAACATAAAATTCACAAAATAACTATCATTTAATTAAAATATCACTAAACCATGTACACGTCGACTTATTTTTACTTAAAAAAACATCCCAGAATTGCACAAAAATGGCATTGCGCACACTCTTCACTATATCCATGTACACTGCTTTTTTTCTCATAAATTAGAAAAATTTCACGAAAATGCATGAAAATACTCAACGTATACTACTCAAACGTATTCCAAAATACTACAAACATATAACTCACAAAATCACGATCATTAAATTAAAATATAATTAAATTAAAAAACACTACTTAAAAATATAAATAAGCACATACATTAAATTAATAAAAAATTAGATTACAATCCTAATTACTTTAAACTAAATCATTGCTAATAACAATTTTCCAATAATACCATATTAATTTATTTACTCCTTACATTTAGAACAATGCATAAAAATAATATCCTCAAATGATTAAAAATACTAACTTACCTAATCTTCTTCAGAATCTTCATTACGTGGCACGCACACTTCCCTACAGAAAGAGTTCCAATCGGCTGCAGTACTACTGCTAATTTCTAAATCCGAAATCCAGTAGTCAACTGGCAGTCTATTCACCAAGTAATAAGAAATTAATAAAATTTCACCCATACTCAAACTACTTTCAGCAAACCACGTACCCTTCCTTACACTCCGTTTCACAAAATGTCCATTTTCACCAGATTTCTTGCACCGCCATTCAAACTTATCTGTAATATCCTTCCTTTCACACAATCTCAACTTATTATTATTATCAGATAAACGCATTAAAAATTTAGAATTCACTTTACATAGCGCCATGCAATCCGAAAATTAATCAACACTATTTCACACAACACACAATGAAGCTTAATACAAAAATAATACTTTTCCAAATTTACCCCCTTTTCCGATTAAAGAACTGTAATTCATCCATTAATGTCACATGACATATCTCATGATCTCTCATTTCTCTCACACAAAATAATGCGTAATCGGAACTGAGTACTTCTCACATTATTATCAAAGTCCTAGGTAGTAACCTGTATCGCCTCCAAAATGTCGCCAAACAACCTGTTACCAAATTCCAAAGATCAGCCGTTTTTTTAAGTGAAATTAGGTCGTAATGTACATGGATGATACCGTGTTTGTGCAATTCGTAAAAACGCGGCAAGCAGTGGGGGATTGACTTGTCCCAATTTACACCTAATCTCGCATATAAGCATTTTGTCCATAAAGTTCTAGCATAAGCGAATTCGGAGCAGCTTGTTGGAAAAAATGTGGAAATGTTGAGAAAAAAAAACCATGCCTTTTTACTTCGTTAAAAAACAAAATGGCGTCCAAACAAAAACTAGCAGGTTGCTGTAGCAGGGTTCGTTGCCAAATTTTTGCCAAAAAATCGCCAAGTTACCATAATTCAAAGATTAACCAAAGTTGTTTATATTCATAAAACAAAGTTATTTTGTGTCATTGAAAACAAATTTTAAAAGGCATACGATTTGAAGTTCTAAGACCTAAAAAATGTATGATTCTGCAATTATTTTGTGTTATTTAAAGGTAAAAGATCAACCAGTTTTCACTCAAAAATTTCGGAAAAAAGAGGAGAAAAAAATTTCAAAATTGGTGGTTTCAAAGAAGTACAACCACCGCACGTCAAGTGGTTAAGTAAGTTAGAACAATTTGAGAAAATGAAAAACAGCAAAAATATTAAATTAATAGGCCATACATGAAAGTCATGTGGTGTCCACATCAGATTTTTTATGTATTATGTACATTATTTCATTTGAGTCGTGAAATGGGCAATCTCTTGATGATTGCCTTTTGAAATTTCTTAAACTTTTTAAATGCTTTTAATTTTATATTAATATATTTATTTTGTATTACTTTGCTTTTATTTTGATTTCCAAATTTTTGCTTCAGCTGCTTTTAATTGTTCCTTCCTTTGTATACTTTGCCACTACCGGTTGATATTAATTACATGTATATTTTATCTATCTTAATTAATTGCGCTGCATTCTAAGCGGCATTTATTCTTATTAATTAAATATTTTTCAGTTTCAGATCTATATACTGGATGTTAATCCACTACCAAATTACATTTAAATAGCAGTAATAATTTCCTCTGTGTAAAGAGTTACCCATGTGTCCCATAATTTAACTCACCCTTTTTTCACTCAATCATCCGCATACAACGCGTTCCTAGACTTATAATTAGATTTGCAGAGTATTAAAGCATAACATTATTTTTCAGAATTAACACAGCAAATCTTTCAAGTGACTTACATTTATAAAGTATATTTATAGCTTTGGGCTACATACACGATATTAAACTTATTTAAAAAATTAAATCTAAATTAAAATAATAATAAACTTGCTAACTCACTGATTTACTATATCAATTTATTTATCGGAAAATCATTTTATATACATTAAAACAGAATAGTTCAGGTTTAAAGAAATCAAAATAATAAAACAACAGTATCCCTCCACGATCTAAAAGATAACTGTAATCCAAATGTAAACAAATTTCCAATAACTTTTAATGTAATTTAAATGGACCAAGATGCAAACTTACTATTATAGTACTTTCGCGGACCGCCTGAGAAACAGTTTCTCGGACTTGTGCCGCCGATCCGGGTTTATTAAGGCTACGGGTAAATTTTCTTTCAGCCATGACCTATTATTAATCTGATCATCCTCTGAAAGATGTATCGGAAATAATTTTTAATACCGACTATCATACTCAACACAGAAGAGATGACACTTCTCGAATGACACACAATGTTACGATGCCATATTCTAATAACTAAACATCTCGTATAATAAATTTTCCACTCTTATTTCAACATCATAATCAACTTTAGAAGATTGATTTCATTTGATAAGGAGCACAATTCTCATATTTGTGTTCTTACACATGCTATCTGTAATATTAAGGGGCGAATTCAAGTGCAACGCTCTGATAAATTGCAAATGTTAGCTCGCAAGAGGCGTTCCTGCTATCGTCTGCTAAAGTCGAATTCAAGTGCAACGCTTTACCCCTCTGGGTAACTGATGACGTCAAAATTGCAATGGGGAGCTGGTTGCTCGTGCCAGGAGAGCTTGTCCGATAAACTACATCATATCCAATGAGACTGCGTGTCGATGTAAACAAAAAATCTCAGTTCCCTGATTTCTCTGAGCTTATGGTCAAGTGTTTACTGCGTTGTAGTGTGGTGTAACGATGTTCCGTCCTGAGTATTAATGTACAAACTTTATACTTTATCCTATAGAAAATTCCCTCCAAAGTAATCTAGAGCAACATAGTGTGTAAAATATTTTACTTTTCAGACAAAAATCCTTGCTTTTTCAAATATAAACCGCATTTTTTCCCCATTTCAAATACAGCATTTGGTTTTAATTTTAATAGTAAGTTTA